GACCGTGCGGGCCAGCCCGACAGGCTGCGCAGAGAGCTCGAGCAGACGAGGGAGGAGGCGGCCGTGGCCGAAGAGTGGGCGGGGGGGAGTGGCGAGGAGGGTGGAAGAGGGGAGGCGGAGGAGGAGGAGGTGGAGGAGGAGGAGGCGGAGGAGGAGGCGGAGGAGGAGAAGAAGAGGAGGAGGAGGATGAGGAGGTGCACCGCGACCTACCGCATCGCCACAGCGATTCCCTTGCTTGGCGCTCTAGTTTGATCCCCCCTAGGGGGCGAACGCCCCTGGGAGGGTGGATAGCCGCGCCTGTCAGACCCCAAAGCCACCAGGAGGTGGCGGCGGACGCTGGCTGATGACCTTGGGTCGTGCTCACTGCAAGGCGAACAAAAACAGGACAGCCTCCGGAGCGGATATCCGCGGGAGGCCTGAGACCTGACACTCGAGCGACTAAAAAGCTTTGGGCCAGGTGAAAGGTGCCATGAAGCCCTGGACCAGATGAACAGACATGGGCAACGCAAATTGTGGAAAGCCATGCGCCACATTGCACAAAGACACCATGAGACGAACCGCACTGAACCCTGCTCTCTGAGAGGCCCAGAATTCGTCAAGAAAGCGCCCCAGGCGCATCACAAGTCATGGGCACATGCCCGAAGGGGCAGGGAGCGCGCCACCACACTCAACCTGCCCGCCACGCGGCGAGCGCAGGATGGAGCCCGGGGACCCCTTGCTGGGGGGCAACCCAGTGCGGTGGGAGAGCCCAGGTCGCCAATCCCCGATCACCTCCCCAGGGGAGGGTGGCTGCCGATCCTGGGGCCGGCTACCCAGGGAATCTCAGTTCACCCGAGGGGCACTGGCCGTGCCCCCCCCACGCCAGGTACCCTCTCCGGGGAGGAGGAGGAGGAGGAGGAGAATGAGGAATGAGCGGGCGGGGTGGGGGAAGGAAATAGTGGACGTGGGGGAAAAATGTGCGGGGTGGGGGAGGAGGAGGACCCTCAGATCGGGGCGTAATCGTGCCGACCTTCATGTTGTCGTTTTCCACCTTCGGAGGCATCCCTTCTGCTGATCTTGGTTTGTTCCTGTTGGCCTTACTCCATCTTGAGTTTTTACAACTTGCACCGCAACTGCGTGCCCTTGCTGGCTCAAGCCACCAGCTGGCACAACTGGGAGAGCTGGCTGTGGGGCTCCAGGTGTGCCAAGTGTTTAACTTTTTACAGGGATGACCTCCAGACTCGGCCAGAAGTCGGATGCCGGGGTCTCTCCCGAAGTTTAACCAAGCTCCTCGCTGATGCCCCCGACAATGGACATATGCCAGCGAGCACGCAGGTTAGTGATGAAACGTTGCCGGTAGTATTCTGCATGATCTGTGGGAGTTACTCACAAGAGAAGGTTCGTAACCTGGCAACGAGGTGTGATCCTAAGGAGCACAGTGGAGGGGCCAATGCTTTGAGTAGGTTGAAACGTGGCCTTCGCCCCCAACGCAATGTATCTGTGTCCTGTGCCGCGCCAGAGAAGCCAGCCTCAGGCCCAGCAGTTCGTTCCTTTGCTGCCGCTTCGAGGGTGCACCTTATCCCGTCGAGTGCGGCGCCTCTCGAACGCCTGGCTGCCATCCGCGCTCGTATTGCCGAGCGTGAGACGGGCGGGCGGGTGGTGTCGGGAGCTGGGGGTGGTGCTGAGTATGCAGGCGCTCCAGTGGTGCGGCCAGTGAGACCATCGCCAGTGGAGCCAGCGATGCATGATGATTTTGACGCGGAAGAGGAGACCGCCCTTGTCATCTTCGGAGAAAGAGCCGACAGCGAGCAGGTCAGACGTCCCGTGCCCGCTGCGAGCTCCTCTGATGTTTCGCAGAGCGTTTCGTCAGCCCTCCGAGATAAGGAGGACGATGCGCCGTTGGTCCCGATACCTCGCCATGACGAGGGTTCTGGATCTGACCAACGCTGGGGGGTGAGCTGGTGGGCCACGGGGGTGCCTCCTCGCTCTTGAGGAGGCGATCCTGCGACCTTGTATCTCTCCTTCGCTGACAGCGTTTGCTTTCGGGCCACTATTGTGGCCGAGGCCTGGAGCCTCTGAGCTGGTTCGGCCAAGTGTGCCCCCCGAAAAAGTATCAGCGATCAGCATTTTACGGTTCGAATTTTTGGAGAGAATCTGCGTGGTGCGAATGCCAGCACCCAGTTGTGACAGCTACATGTTCTTAATATCTGACGACTGTAAGGTTTCCAGGCGAATGCGTGCGGCGCTACGGCGAGAGCCTCATGTTGAAACCATGCGCACACGACCTTCTTGAACTTCTTCCAAATTTTGAGACGAGTCGGCGCGGCGCTAATGTAAGGACCCCACGCTTAAACAATGTGTGCTGTATCCTTGTAGCGGCTCCATGCTTTTTCAGGCGAGTGTGGGCAGGTCTAAAGCGAGAGCGCCATGCTGAACACCACCTCTTCATCCGTGAAGCTGCGCCAGATCTCACGCTTCAGGATCGTACGTGGTGAGGGAGTGTCTAGCGGCGTGCCCCGCCCGCCTTATCGACCAATCTGGGGGTGCGGCAAAGATGACCAACATATTGGCGAAAGGCGTGGAGGTGGTTGAGGGTGGAAGGATACGGGGGGTAAACGGGCGGAGAGGCAGGAGGTATGGGGATGGCGGAGGACACTTAGGAGGAGGAGGGGGAGAAAGAGAAGGAGGAGGAGAAGGGGGAGGAAGAGGAGGAGGAGGAGGAGGCGGAGGAGGAGGAGGATGAATAACGGGCGAGGGCAAGGGGGAGGCGGAGGGGGCGGTGGGGGAGGGGGATTGCTGCCATCGGCTTCTAGGAATCCTAGAAGGCGATGGTGGCAACCCCTGGACTAGGAGGTATGGGGGTGGTTCTGGGGAGGCACGGGGGAACGAGGGGGGCGGCGGGGGCAGTCCGTCTCCGTTTTCGTCGCTGCGTGGTTCCCTTGCGTTTGGGGGCCCGTCCCCTTCAGTGCCCTCCTTTCTCTTTCCCTTCGGCCTGCCCTTCTCCTCCGCCCCGTGCAGCCCTCCCTTTCCCCCACCCGCCCCTACGATGGGGCACCTTCGCGGCCCGACTCTCGAAGGCCTATCTCGGGATCCTCCTCCCCAGTCCTCGAACCTCGATTACTCCAGATTTCGTAATAAAAGGGAGGGGGTCTCAACCCTCCCAGACGAGAAGTTTTAGACCCCCCCCCCGTGGGAGAACCCTCCAAAACACCGTCCCCAGACCCCCCCAAGCCCTCCAAGATAGCCTGGAAGAGCCCCCCCCCGAAATGAGACCCCCCTCCCTTTATTACGAAATCTGGAGTATCTTTGATTCTCGGTGCCCGATCCTCGTCGGTCCTCTAACCAAAAGGAACGCCAGCCCGATCCCCCCCCCGCCCTCGCCGCCTGCGGCGCCGGAAGAGGGCGGAGGCGGGCGCCCCCCTGCAGAGGAGAGCCGAGCGCCGCGACGAGCCCACCGCGCTCCTCGAGCCTCCTCGACCAGCTTCCGCCCCCCCCTCGATTCTCGACTCTCGACTCCTCGACCACCACCTTCCTCCTCCTCCTCCTCCTCCTCCTCCTCCTCCTCCTCCTCCTCCTCCTCCTCCTCCTCCCCCTCCTCTTCCCCCTCCTCTTCCCCCTCCTCCGCCTCCGCCGCCGCCTCCTCGGCCCTCGATCGTCCAGCCTTCTCTCCCTTGTTTTTTTGGGCAGGCGGATCTCTGAGGCTCTCCGCCGCCTCTGTCGCTGCGCGGCGCGAGAGGGAACGCAGCAGAGCCACGGGACAGCGCGGCATTGACGGTGTGGCTCCGCACACGTGACACATGTTAGTGGGCAGGATCTTCGTCTTGGTGGCGCGAGTGACGGAAAGAGCCCACTTCCACGCTCTGGAGAGCTTCAGAGAGCGCCAAAGGCACCCACACCTTGGGCTCGTCTGGGTCCCCCTCGGCCCTCCTCGCTTCTCTTCTGTGTGTGTGTGGTTCCCCTGCCATCCGCCTCCTCCTCGATTCTCCTTCTCCCCGGCCCTCGATCCTCCTCCTCTTTCTTCTTTTCCTCGGTCCCCGATCCTCCTCATCGATCTTAGTTTTGGACGTTGGTAGGACGGGCTTATACCACGAGACGACCGATTTGGGCGAGACGGCCTTAGTGCGGATTGCAGGCTGGTGCTCACCCAAGTGAAGCAACAACAACACCACCAACAACAACAACACCAACACCAACACCAACACCAACATTAACAACAACAACAACAACAGCAACATCAACAACAACAACATCAACAACAACAAAACCGAAAACAACGACAACAACAACAACACCAACACCAACAACAACAACAACAACAACAACAACAACAACAACACTTACAACAACAATGACGGGCCCGCAGGGTAGCCTGACATGCGGGAGGAGGGATGAGATCGACCGTTGTTCCTCGATGCTCGATCCTTGTCCTCTTTCTCCAGGCCTCCTCGTCGACCCTCCTCCACGTTCCTCGGTCCTCCTCCTCGTGCTCCCACCTTATCGATCCTCGAGTCTCCTCCTCGATCCTCTATCCTTCTCCTCCTCCCACCCTCCTCCTCGGCCGCCCTTATCCTTGACCCTCGATCCTCGGTCCTCCTCGTCGACCCTCGTCGATCCTCGACCATCGATCCCCCTCATCGATCATTCTCCCTCTCTCCCCTCGATCCTCCTCTACTCCTACTCCTCTTCCTCCTCCTCGACCCTCGATCCTCGATCCTCGACCCTCCTCCTATTCTTCCTCCTCCTCCTCCTCCTCCTCCTCCTTCTCCTCCTCCTCCTCGACCCCCCCCGCGCGGGCCGCCCGGGGTGGCGGAGAGCAGGTGGCACGCGGCCGCGCGCTCCGTCGCCGCCGGCCTCGAGGTGGGCGCGTTCCTCGCCGAGAAGGCGCGGGTCTGTTCGCGCGGGCGCGTCGTGCCGGCGGAGGGGGGACGAGTGGACGGAGGGGGCGGGGAGGGAGGGGGAGGGGCGAGGCGGGGCGGAGGAGGAGGAGGTGGAGGGAGGAGGAGGAGGAGGA